CTGCTTTGGTGTGTGGGTCCTTTAAAATTACTGTTATTGTCATGTTCCTATCCTTCCCACATAATTTACATACTGGAAGCAAATACTGGAAGCAAATACTGGAATTATTTTGGTGTGTTTTAAAGTTTTATTAGATACATCTTGTTTGTATTGCTTCTCCTTGGGTGAAGACATGGAATCCAAGTAGACAGAACTCAGAAATATTGATCATGTTTAATAAATTTATAGTATTTGTAAATACAAATCCAAATAGAAAAGTGTCTAAAAATTAAAATGTTTCAGCGTCCAATGTCGCAGTATCTCCAACAGTCAAGAAGCGTGTATGAGGATGTTGCATTAAAATTTAGATATTTCTTCTGTTTATTGATGTAACATTGCAATTTACAGTACTGATAATTCTCAGAAAACTTAATCTCTTATTGCTGGATGGAGGGTTTCTGGTTGGTTTTTTTGCTTTGTTTTTTTTTCCATTAAAATTCAATGCCTTTATTTTCATTACTGCTGACTGAAGGGCCAACTGTAAATTTGGAATATGATGGAGGGATTGAGCTGCTAGCCCTGGTACATACAGACTGGGTAATCAAGGTTTATGTTAAATTTGCATCTAAATTGTTATTTATCCTGTATGTGTAACATGTATATCCCCATTGCAAAGGCAGGAGTCTTAGTGTTTGTAGTTAAGGAGGTGTTTGCTCTCTGTTTCGACCTCGTGAAGCACGTAGTGGTGCGCATAATGTGACATGATGATATGAGACTGTATGCAGTAATGTGTGTAGATTTTGAACTTCACATTCTAGGATTACTTTTGCTTGCTTGACAATTTCACCTTTGTTAAGGTTGCGGGGGAGGAAACCTATGAAATGCTGTTCTTTCCTTATGCTTTTGAATTAAAGTAATTGTTTAGTTTCTCTTTGTGTGTAGGCTAAAATAAGACTCTGAAAAAAACAGTAGCAACATCCTAAGCGTGAGCTTATTGAGCGTGGTGTCCTATTCAAGGCATCAAGTTTGCAGGAGGTCTAAGGCTAGTTGACTTGTGTACACTGATGAAGTGTTTCTATTCCAGCTCTGTCTCTGAAGATCTGGGTTGCAGACGCGGAGAGTTTAGCAGAAAGCATTATGGATCTGTGGAGCTTGTAAGTTTATATAGCCTGTCCTTCGATTTTAGCATCTTGTAATGTAAAGCTCAAATCCTTTTCATTTCCGGGTAAAAAATTTGATCTAGTTTGGAAAATGTGCTTTCTAAGCTGGACTCAGAAGTTACAGGGTAATAGAGAGAGACATCAGAATAGATACATTAGACCTGTGCTAGGAAATCTTTTTACTACCTTCTTTATGAGTATTTTATCATAACAAGACAGGAAGTGTTATATAAATACCGTGTTTACTCCCAGATGGAAATTGAGCCTTTTTTCCTCTTATAAGCTGAAGATTGCAAAATATTTGGGCAGTATTTGATTAAGTACTTGCAATTATATGAGTTAAAAGCTGTGTGCGTGCTCATGTGTGTACATACATATGTGTGTATGTGATTGTATGTGTACATGCCTCAGAGTAATGAGAGAGGGTTTAAAATTAAAAGAACTAGTCAGAACAAAGATATTGAAAGCTGTTCCCTAAAATATGTCAGTTATTCTGCATTTTCTTTGAATTCAAAGATTAAGTTGGCACTTTGTTTTTCTCATATGTAGATTTCTTCTCCGCTGTGAAAATAGCAGTATGTCAGCAGTTAAAATAACATCGCTCGTAAAGGCCATAATGAAATTATGTAATCTTACTATAGGAAAACAGAAGTGGGGAGCGGTGAAGAAACTGAACGCCAGCTCTCTTACTGTGGGAAGAAATCACTAATTTTCTACTAGCTATAGTTGTAATTTAAAATTCTTGGATAGTATATTTATTAATATGTATGTAAATCTGGTGTAAATTGGTTGCTTAGTTGCTGGAAGTTGCATTGCAAGAACCAGGTTATCTATATGAAAGCCTAAATCAGGTTGCTAGGACCAGTTGTCTGTATAATTTCTCTTACAGTTTATATAAGGCACGAGGATGTGTTGGAGTTTTTGCCATGTTATTTTATTCCTGTCGCAGCCTCAGATAGCTTCAAAGCAGGGAGCAAAGAGAACTTCAAAATGTTGTGATAACACTTCCACCAAGTAAAGGGAGAAAGTATTATCCTAGAGTAACATGGATTGCTAGAGGGAAGCAATTGTGTTATTGTTGTTCAGATCCCGTTTTGATATTATATTTGTTTGATATTATATACATTTGATATTATATGTGACAACTTCATTTTTTACAGTTTTGAGAGGAGTAACATGCAATATCATTGGCAGCATTCTCCTCCTCTTCTCTTGTAGGGATCCTAAGCAGTGTTGCTGAACACATCAGAATTGTCATGTTATCATGTTTTACTGACTTCTCAAGAGCTTTTTTAATGACAGTTTCAGTGTTCTGGGAATCCCTGGATTCCCTTGTAAAAAGACCAGGCAGTCTTTCTAGAGTATTTATGAAACTGTTGAAGTCTTCAGCTGAAAACAAGCTGTATTTTCTGATATTGATGCTGGAAGCAGACCAGGACATCTCCTGTACCTTATGATGATGTACCTATCTGATGTTCAGTATCATCGCTGAGTATTATGTTTGGAGATTCTATTATGTTTGGAGATTCTTGCTGCTCTCTGTCTTCTGAAAACATCAATAAATAAAATGCAGTAAAAGACTGCTAGTCCCAGTAATACTGCCAACACATAGAGATTTAGGCATAGCAAGGCTGAGAGGACAAGAATCATCATGTCTGTAAGACCTATTGTTTTGAAAGGAGCAAGCTTCAAGATTAGTTTCTGGAGAGCAGACAAGTCCCTCTGTAGGCCTTCTGTGTGTTGGTGCAGCCAAAATCTGAGACAGCAGTGTTTCTGATTAGTACTGGGATCTACCAAAAGAGTAAACAGCTTTCCCGCTCATGCCTCCTTAGAGTTATAATTGGGTCATTCCAAATCTGTAGTCAAAGTAGTAATAGCTGTGCTGACCCGTTCTCTGTGGGTAGTCATATGATGCCTGGGAGAAGAAGAAACCATAGTAAGCTTTGATTGCTGATCATATGGCTATTTGTGGAACTAGAACCTCTGTATTATACTCTCTTATAGCTTATATCTAGTGATGCTGATGGAGCTATTCAAAGAGCTGGACGGTTCCGTGTGGAAAACGGCTCCTCTGGTGAGGTAAGTAGTTAAAGATACTCATAGAAAGCTGAAAAAATAATTCAGCTTCAGTTATTCTTCACCACTGAAAGATGTGTTTGCAGTCAATTACTAAGGAAGAGGACTTGAAAAATGCTAAACAACATGAGAGTGTAAGAATCTAAGAGGAGGGAGATGGTGGGTTTTTTTCCCCCCAAAGTCTAGCTTAGCTCTTCTTTCAATTTTTTAAGGGAAAAGCTGGTATTTTGTTTAGTTTGGGTAACATTTTGCTCATGTGATCATGTTAGAAGAAAAATACCTATCTTATCCTCTGAATAACACTTTGAATTTTATATTGGTGTCCTGGTGAAACTGTTATGCTCAAGCTGACCTTTATGCTTTTAAGTTTATTCCTCAGTGTGAAGAGGTTATAGCTTCATTTTTTCCCCCTTAGTTGTCTTCTGGCAGCTATGCTTATATAAATAAGAGATAAAGAAGCTGAGTGGAGCCTCAAGATTCCTGTGCTGTTAAACTTGAGATGTGTCCCTACAACCACTCCAGTGACACTTAGGTTTCTACTTAATCTTCATTTTTTATCTTCCTTAGCAAAACTCTTTCAGTTGTAAATATCATCTTAATATTGAAAGAAAGAAGACCTCATATTCTTGAAATATATATAAGGTCTTGGTAAGCTTGTATTGAACTAATATTAACAGTAAACTACATCTGATCATCTGCTTGCATCAGCACTGGGTGCAGAGTTTATAGCAATCTTAACTATTCTGCATTGACTCTCCATGGCATCATGTTCTGTACACTGACTTTAGTTCAGAAAGCTGATTAGCTCGTATCACAGAAAGATTCTCCGAGTGGGTGATGAATGGCTACGTGGTGAATGGATAAGGAAAATGGCTGTTTCTCTGCATATGTTAATCCTTAGTGGAAAAAGGACATGAGGGATGCTTGGGAATTTACCTTAATCAGTCTGTCCAGAAACAACACTGAAGAGTTTCCAGAGCATGCTGTGGTCTAGTGAGGAGTCCTTGAGGATTATTTTGGGAAGAACTGACAAAATGAAGCCTGGAGGCAGAATTCTGTTTGTTAATTTATTATTTTTAAGTTTTAAAAACACTGGTCTTCAAATTCCACATTGAAGTATCTTCTTTTCAGTGGAATACTAAGCTGTTACCTGTAATGGTGGTTTATTAGGAAAAGACTGTAGTTACTTAGAAAGAGAAAAAGAAAAAAAAGGAGAGGGAGAAATTTGAATTTCAGCTGCACAACAACTGACTTCAGCCTAATTCTTTGCTTTTTAAAAAACAATATACAGCTAAAACTCTCTGGTGAACCAGCCACTCTTGATTGGCTTTTGCCTGTATTATATTCTCTTTTTTTATCACTTGGCATTTGATCTAATGGTCTCCCAATTCTATTTCAGAATACAGACTACACTCCGGGTACGTGGCACAGAACAGATGTGCATTTAGAAAACCCAGAGTATCATACAAGATGGTATTTCAAGTATTTTTTAGGGAAAGGTAATTATCTTTTTGCGAATGGATTGACATTTTGGTCAATGAAAACGCAATGTAGCTTTGAGTTGCTATTATTTAAATATGGAAAAAAGTATGGTATTAATTTAGTATTAATACATTTTACATCCTGTACTGAAAACAAGTTCTTGTTTCATGTGTTTTTCACCTGAAGACAGAGGATGGGTTTCTGTAAGCGGCGGAAACCCTGCTACAAAAAAGGGATGTTTTGAAACCCTTCTTGGCCTTGAAGGCTGTACCTACCTCTTGTTTGGTTTTTTTTCCACACATCTCTGTATATAAATACATAGTTATTTATGTAGATAAGTACATATTTTTAGATATGAATGCATATACTTACACATTTATACACATATCTCTCTGTGTGCATGCATGTGTGTCTCTGTGTGGGTGCACGTGACCGGGTGTGTGTGTCTTCTTTATGGTTGATAATGCTTCTTGTTTTTCCCTAACAGTTCATCAGAATTATATAGGTACAGATGCAGAGAAGAACCCTTTCTTTCTGTCTGTTGTACTGTCTGACCAAAATAATCAGCGTGTTCCTCAGTACCATTCAATACTTTGGAGAAAAACAGTAAGAAACAAATATTTAACTGCTGTTCTGACTTTTTGTTTGTTTGCTTGTTTGTTTTGGATATGCTTATCATACACTTTTTTGCTTTCTTCAGAATTTCAATATTTAACACATATTTTTCATTTTATACAAAAAGAACATATAATTCTATCGTAGTAGATAGAACTAAACTAGCTTTGTAGATAAAATTATACTAAACTTTCTGACAGGAATCTGTGATGCTATATATTTTTTAATTGTTCTTACCGGCAACACTGTGTTATTTTTAGAAATGTTGCCTAAGTTTTTCTTGGTTATGTCCTGTGATCAATTTAGGCAATAACTTTCTACTCTTTTTAGGATTTTCTTATACAAAGTTAAGAAAATAGGCAGGTGTGATACTGGTTTCACTAATATTGTTTAATGATTTTTTTTTCAGTTAATGTTCCATAAGAGCCTTTTATCTAGGCACTTGATTTAAAACTCTCCTGTATGTATGCATGCTTCACTTTTTTTTCTTTTTTTTTTCTTTTTTTTTTAAAGAAATAGTTTGTCTGCTAGTTTCAGCAGCCCTCATACCACATGCCAAGGTAATCAAAACTAAGTAAAAAATAATTTTGCACCATCCATGTATTTTCACATCCAGTTTTTCTTCTTCTTTCTTCCCCCTCTCCAACCTAGCAGTAAATATGACTAAGTAAAACTAGCACGGTTTTGTTCTTTGTTTTTTTACTTAATTGTTTTTATTACTATTTCTATCTGAATATACAGAAAAAGTCAGTGTGTCCTGTAATATCTCCTAGCTTTTTTTCTTATAGGGTACTCAGAAAATATGTCTCCCTTATAGTCCCACAAAGACATTATCAGTGAAATCTATATTAAGGTATGTATTTACAAATAAGTTATCAGTTAAGATATTTGTCTGTACATCTTTTCCTGTAATTCAGAACTTGCGTTGCACATGGTTTTCACGATAGATTTATAAAAACAGTAAAAACAGTTTTACAAATCTTAATCATTCAAGGCAGCAAAAAATGGTTTTAAAGCCTGTTCTAGAATAGATAAAGTGACAACTTAAAATGGAGAAAAAATCTTAGCTCTTTTTTTTCAGGAGAGGGACTATTTTCAAGTTAATTGGAAAACAGGTGCTAAGTAGAACTGCAGTGGTTGAGAAAGGTCTGTTTATTGTCTATCTAATTTAAAAAAATATTTCTAAGGAACAGCAGATTTTGACTGGAGAAGTGGTTATTGTGTGACCGTAGCAGGAGAAGGCTAACAGGGCAGAAACCAAGAATTATTTCTTCAGTTGATTGTCTCCATGTAAGTCTCACTATAGGTGTGTTATACACACTGTCAGTGAAGCCAAGAAAATTCCTTCCCCAAGCCAGAGCCTGTATGGGCATGCTTATACTCTGTCCTGCCTCTTTTGTGGCAGAAGAGAATATAAAGCCCAACGCCATTTCTATTTCTTTCAATATTATAATCAGGTGAAATGTCAGAGCACTTGTTTGCAAAGTGTTCATTCAAATTTAGTCCGCAATTTTTACCATCTAATCATGTGGTGTGTTTTCTCAAATACCTCACTGACAATGTCTTAAAATGCATCTTCTGTAAGGGTTTTACCTCCTCTAGAAACCCATATAAAGTACCTTCACTTACTGAGCAGGTAGTGTGTACCAGATAAATGAGCAGTCTGCAGATCTTCAAAACTTTTGATCTCTATAGAGTATCAGCAAATGTCTCTTGCTTGGTTGAAGCTGGTCCACTGGATAACGCTGCCGGTGCTGATGTGAGAGGAGAATTCTGGGAACAGGGTGTGTGTTGTGATGTGAAGTCAGTATCACCAGGTCTGGATTTTTGTACAACTGCACAAGATTTCTGAGAGGCCTCAGACAACTGAATTTGCCAGAGAGAGTAGCAGGCCATAGAGCCTCACTTCTTAATTCTGATTTCCAGGGTAGTGGCTCTGGTTTTGAGTGTCAAGATGGTGAGTTGAAAAGACTTCCTATCTCTTTCATCTTCTTCATTGAGATGAGCTAAGTCCCCTCTTGCAACTCCTACAGCACTGTCTTGAATAGTGTTCCTAGTTGTCAGTACTGCATGCTATACCTACATAAACACCTGGTCTTCCATGTCTGCCCACCAATCACTGAAATATCTCTTCCTAACATCCCTTTCTAACCTAGCCTCTCCCTCCACTCTTACCCGTGTATACGTTTTTGGTCGGGCATCCCAGAGTGGAGCAGCTTTGTCTTCTGTTAGCTAGGGTCATAACTCTCTTGCTCAAACACCCTCATGTATTTCATGCTATGATGCTCCAGTATTTTACAGAGGGAAATGCAGGCTTGTTTCAGACCTTGTTCCCCACTTCGCCCAGGGTCTGTGCCACCTGCGATCAGCTGTGTAAATGTCATCTCATTTTGCCCACTTGGGCTTGGACTAAAATCTCTTCCCTGACTATTCTTTTGCGTTTATGGTCCTTGAGCCTTCCCTCAGGCCTGATTGATACTCCTTTGATGTTTCACCCTGTTCACAGCCGGTGTGACAGTACCATCTAGGTACTGTCTCAAAGAATTTTGGTTTCATTAATAAACCCATTTTTCTAATTAATTGGAACATTTTAATCTCTTTCAAAAGGAACTAAAGCAAATCCTTGTCTGCATTGTCATTTAGCATAAGCAATGATGGAAGGGTGCATCAGATTTGAACTCCCTGTTAGTTCACTGTGCCCCAGACATACTGCATTCAGCACTCCATGACATGCTGCTAAGTTCTATAACCTAATGCTGGGGGAAAAAATGGGCAAAAATATAGTAAATGCAGAAAAATTAGTTAGGAAAAAAAGCTACAAATTAGGTATTTCTGTTTATTGAGGCAGTTGATCTTGCTTCTTATTTAAATGCATTTTTCTGTTCTGTTTGTGGATCTTTGGCATGTGAATTTGATGCTGAACTGCTTGTTCTTCATTTGATTTGCCCTTAATTATTTCAGGAGAGAGAGAAGAAAACCTTACAAAATAGAATAGCTTATTGAGTCAGTCTAAAATACTCACAATGATTATGTATAAAGCCAAAGCGAAGGGTGACTGAATAAAGCTCTGTGCTTTATAAGTAAATAAAGTAAATTTAAACTTGATCTCCATGCAGGGTCTTACTAATTTCTGTTTTTAAAATCCAAAAGAACTTTAGGAAGTCTTGGAGATTAGTATTGTGGAAGAGAAATGGCTATTCCACAAAACATTCCATGTAAAAGAGGCTCTTCGAACAATTCCTTTTGTAACCGGTTCTAACTGCAACCAGTTAGTGGTTTAATGTTGAAATGTGTACTTGCCCTTCTATAAAGCAGCATTTCATTTGCATTTCAGTGCTATGAGTCTTGACAAATTTGAGAAGAGCCCAAGGGAAATTTTTCAACCTGAGATACAAAAGGTAGGAGGTGACTTCTTTTTTTGTTTGTTTGGTTTTCTTTATTATTTTCTGGAAAAATAAGTCATTAAGTAGAAATGCTACTAGTTTGTTTCTTTCAGTAGCAGCGTAGTAAAGATGAATAGGGTTACATGATACTGCAAAGTAAACGGTCTTTATCAGTTGAACTGGCCACTTCAAAACAAAACTTAAATATACAAGGATGTTATAGTTTTATTTGTGTTATGTTTAATACCAGTGTGCTAAAGATACTGTTTTGTTTACAGGATTTATTGGTTCTTGAAGAGCAAGAGGTAAATGTAAACTTACCACTCCTAGTTCACAGACCTGTTCAACGAATACAGCTTTGTATTTGAAATATTTGCAGTGACATACTTGTGACAACTTAGAAATCAATTACTTATTGCAGTAAAAAAAAGGAGTATTTCTTTGCAACATATGAGATCAAAAATAATTTTTAAGCACCAACTTAATATATCGTATTAATAGATATGTATATTATAAACATAGTATATTATAAAATTAATAATCTATGATCAAAGGTAAATTATAAGGTATTCGCTACCTGAGCATGTAATGGAGTTGATATGAAATACATATTCCCGTGTGTAGGATGTATACAGAGGTACATATATAAAAGTCCTCAGAGAAAACTTTGTTTTAGGGGTTTTGTTAGATTGTTTTATCATATGATATTTGTGGTTTTTTCTCAGGGATCTGTGAATTTTAAATTTGGAGTCCTTTATGCTAAGGATGGGCAGCTTACAGATGATGAAATGTTCAGCAATGGTGGGTTTTTTGCCTTTTTCTTAATTGTTTTATTCATCTGAATAAAAAGGCTCTGTGAACAGTAGTGTTGTTAGGTTTCATGTTCATGTTGGATGAAAAACTGTAGTGTAAAGTCTTTTATTTCTATAAAAGGTTGCTGTAGGAAACCTACTATTACAACTTAGATACTGAATTTTCTTTTCTAGAAATAGACTATGCAACATAAGATTTAGAAAAAGGAAGCAGCTGAAGGAGGTGACTCATGTTACCTGCAAAAAGTCACTGTTGTTTCTAGTTCTTTCACTCTTACGTTTTTGCAGCATGATCACTTTCTTCTCTGCACTTGAACAGTGTCTTGGAGTTAGCAAAAGAGGTTGCTGTCAAATGTCACATGGTGATGCCTATTCTGCAAGGCTGGGATGCTGTTTCTGTAAAGGTAGAAAGCTTGGATGACATGAGGAAGAACTAATGCATCTGAAACTTTGGTCCTCGTGTCCTGGGAGCAAGACCTGTTCCTGTATTTTGTTTATTTTTTTATAAGTGTTCTATTAGTACACGTGCTTTTCTGTTGTAACATTTCTCTCTTCCACATGTAGAAACTGGAAGTGAAAGCTTTCGCAGATTTTTGCATCTCTTGGGTGACACAATTACTTTGAAAGGCTGGACAGGCTACAGAGGAGGACTGGACACCAAAAGTAAGAACTCATCTGAAGCAAAAAAAGGGGGGGCAGCTGCAATATAAATGTTTTTGCTTATTGCATGCACATGGTATATATTGCCTGCACATATATGGTATATATTGTAGAAGTAATACAATCCCAAAGCAGACTTTCTCATGTGCGTGCTAAATGCTCTGCTTCACCAGGAAAAAGTCAGGTTAGCTTAAATCACTGGTATGCAACATAGTTGAAGAAAAGTATTTGTGTGACCTGTATTTTCAAGGAGAACAGTTTCATTTTATATTGGAATGGAGTGAAGAACAACCTGACATGTTACTTGCTTCATGATAGTAGGGCATCATGGCTTGCAGAACCGTGTGCGATTTCAGGAGGCAAGGTGAAGGACGTCATAGGTTTTAAGGGTGTGAATATGCAGATTAGGTTGCAACTCAGGTTTGGACCCAAGTAAAACATGCAGTGTGGACATTTTCTAAAAAGGATGACTAAAGAAGGTTTGGTAGAAGGACCTAAAATATCTTTTGATCTTTAGAAAGCTGAAAGGACATACTGCTGCTGAGAATGTTGTCTTCCCTTGCAGATGATACAACAGGAACCTGTTCCATCTATACAGTTTTTCAAGGGCATGAAATTATGTTCCATGTTTCAACCATGCTACCATATTCTAGAGATAACAAGCAGCAGGTACATGGTTCTCTTTTTTTTTTTTTTTTCTTTTTTTTTTTGTGGGGGTTGGGTTTGGGAGTTGTGGGGGAGTTCTGGGGGTTTTTTCTCTATTAATATTGTAGAAATCTAAGTCTTAAGACTTTTGCTATATTTTTTGTCTCAATATTATACCTAATGCTGAAAATTTAATGATGTTTTTTAGAAGACAATGCATCATATTCATCTCTATTATGGTACAAAAGACACTTGCAAAGAAGGTCAAAATTGATTGTCTGAGAAGTGATTGAGTATTGTGTTATTCAGATGACTAGTGGAGCTTCACTGCTGCAACTGTAATTCCCTCAAAGAATTTAGGAAGATTGGGAATTAGACTTGTGTGTGAATTATCAGAATACTCACATATGCAACACACAGCTCGTGCTCAGGTAGCGATTCATGTAGCTTGAAAGAAATTCCTCATGTGAGCATGTTAATGGCAAGCTTTGTGCATTTACTCTAAAGCACTGCCATTGCCCTCTCGTAGATTGACTAGGTGGGTTCTTGGGTACTTGTTCAAATGTGCTGCCATCTATTGCTTGAACCTTTCTATGTATTATAAGATGAAAACATTACTTTATGAGCACATGCATTTACCTATACATCACACATCCATAATGATCTACCTAAAATTACTTGCAAATTACTTGTGTTACTGTTTTCTTATGTATGCATTATTATTATTTATTATTATTATTATTATT